TCCATGATCTTGACCTTACAGTGCTTTAAAATAGTCCACCTGGGGCCATAAGTTCAATCAACATGCATGCTCATGTGCGTGGCCCTAATTCCATGCCTGCAGACCATTTGGTGCGCATGTACAGTTCTTAGGGCAAGAACACAAACAAGGTTTTCCGGACAAGCTCAACACTTACGAGAAGGTGGATTGAACCATGTCAGGTGAAGACTGAAGACATTTGGCGAAAGAAAGGAATTGATGCAATTATCAGCTGATAGCAGGAGGTAATAATCTGGCGCTCAGAACTGAGTTATTTTTATCTAAACTCCAGGCAGAAACAAAAGACACAAATTATTACAGCTCCATATACCTTAATACATCATTAAATGTAAGGACCCTAATTTGAGCTGTTATTCTTGAAGTCCTTCTGTTTCAACAGAGAGCTCATCTCTGTGTTGCTTCTCTGTTTGGTCACAGGCTGGAGAACGGGTCCATTGCAACCTGGGCTCAGAGAAGGTGGGTTAAATGATGCTTTCCTTTCCTTCATCCCAGAAGAATGAGGACATGTTGGGGGGGGGGGGGGGGGGGGGGGGGGGGGGGGGGGGAAAAAAAAAAAAAAGGGTATTAGAAGTTACTGTGGGGGATTGCTTTGGATCGAAGTGAAAAATTGCACTTCACTCTTTAAATGGACTTTCCTAGCGCCAATCCATGGCAGCATGCTGCCAGTGTTCCTATGCTCATGCTGCCATGGATTGTCACCATGCCAGTAAAGGAAAAAAATCTGTAACTCTGGGGGCCTGTACTGATGCTCTGAATCATTTTCAGTTTTCCTGGCACTAACAAGGCAGCATACATGTGGTAGTAGGCCTGCTGTGAATTGGTGGCTAGAAAAGGAAAATTAAGGTAAGTATTTAATACAATTTTTCTGTTGGCGCCATGAACAGGAAAATTAAGGTAAGTATTTGATACAATTTTCAGTTTTCCGAATGCAGGGATTGGCACTAACAAGGCAGCATACATGTGGTAGTAGGCTGCTGTGGATTGGCGGTTATAAAAGGAAAATTAAGGTAAATATTTGATACAATTTTCAGTTTTCCTGGCACTAACATGGCAGCATACTTGTGGTAGTAGGTTGCTGTGGATTGGTGGCTAGAAAAGAAAAATTAAGGTAAGTATTTGATACAATTTTTTTTTGGCGCCATGAAAAGGAAAATTAAGGTAAGTATTTGTACAACTCGATGCCCGCTGTTTCCAGTTTTCCCCAGCACTAACATGGCAGCATACATGTGGAAACATGCTGCTATGGCCTGTTGGTGCCCAAGAAAGGAAAAATGCTGGATGGTAGGTATTTGATTTGATACATGTGGAAGCATGCTGCTATGGATTGGTGAAAAATTTAGTGGGTAAGTATTTGATACAATCTTCAGTTTTCCTGGCACTAACACAGAAGCATACCTGTTGTAGTAGGCTGCTGTGGACTGGTGGATAGAAACCCGATCCGCCTGAAAAATTAAGGTAAGTATTCAATACAATTTTTCTTTTGGCGCTAGGAAAGGGAAAATTAAGGTGAGTATTTGATACAATTTTATTTTGGCGCCAGGAAAGAAAAATTAAAGGTAAATATTTGATAACGATTTTCTTTGGCAGCCAGGAAAAGGAAAATTAAGGCAAGTATTTGATACAATCTTCTTTTGGCTCCAGAAATGTGCCTCTGCCGGAAAATTAAGGTAAGTATTTGATGATACAATTTTCAGTTTTCCTGACACTAACATGGCAGCATACATGTGGAAGCATACTGCTATAGATTGGCGCCAAGAAAGGAAAATTACGGTAGGTATTTGATACAATCTTCAATTTTCCTGGCGCAAATATAAAAGCATACTTGTGGTAGTAGGCTGTTGTGGATTGGTGGATAGAAAAGGAAAATTAAGGTAAGTATTTGATACAATTTTCTTTTGGCGCCAGGAAAAGAAAAATTAAGGTAAGTATTTAATTTTCTTTTTGGCGCCAGGTGAAAATTAAGGTGAGTATTTGATACAATTTTATTTTAGCGCCAGGAAAAGAAAAATTAAGGTAAGTATTTGATACAATTTTCTTTTTGGCGCCAGGAAAAGGAAAATTAAGGTAAATATTCGATACAATTTTCTTTTGGTGCCAGTAAAAGGAAAATTAAAGTAAGTATTTGATTCAATTTTCAGTTTTCCTGACACTAACATGGCAGCATACATGTGGAAGCATACTGCTATAGATTGGCGCCAAGAAAGGAAAATTACGGTAGGTATTTGATGCAATCTTCAATTTTCTGGTGCAAACATAGAAGCATACTTGTGGTAGTAGGCTGTTGTGGATTGGTGGATAGAAAAGGAAAATTAAGGTGAGTATTTGATACAATTTTCTTTTTGCTCCAGGAAAAGGAAAATTAAGGTAAGTATTTGATACAATCTTCTTTTGGCGCCAAGAAAAGATAAATTAAGGTGAGTATTTGATACCATTTTCTTTTTGCTCCAGGAAAAGGAAAATTAAGGTAAGTATTTGATACAATTTTCTTTTGGCGCTAGGAAAAGAAAATTAAGGTAAGTATTTGATACAATTTTCTTTTGGTGCTAGGAAAAGAAAAATTAAGGTAAGTATTTGATACAATTTTCAGTTTTCCTGGCACTAACATAGCAGCATACACGTGGAAGCATACTGCTATGGATTGGCGCCAAGAAAGGAAAATTGCGGTAGGTATTTGATACAATTTTCAGTTTTCCTGGCACTAACATGGCAGCATACATGTGTTAGTAGGCTGTTGTAGATTGGCGCCAACAAAAAACAATTACAATAAGTATTTGATACAATTTTCTGGGTTTTTTTTTATTGTTTATTTTTTACTTGCATTCTGCTTTAATTGTACATCTCCTAGGGCACCACAATTCACCAAAAGTTGGGTCTTAATTCTTCATTAGGCATTATTTAGACGCACAAATATATTTAACATTTTTTATATAATTTTTGTGAATTAAAAAAAAAATATATTTTTGTCTCCACTCATCTAGAACCACGTAAAATTATTTGATTTGTGGCCCGCGTTGATCCAAATTTCCTCCTCATCAGCAAAGGGGAGCAGGTCTTAACCTACAATAACATGAAAAGGCCGCATTCTCCGGCATATCTTCAAAGCGAAAGCTGTAATCACGTATTGAGCTGTTTTTCATTCCCATTACACCATTTAACCTCTCTGACCTTCGTCCTATCATTTGCTAAAAAATGAAGACCCCCAGAAAAACAAGGTGTCAGCTGTCAGCCAATCCCGGCTCTAATCAGAAGCAAAATACGCCATTATTATATATTATTTGTATTAATCAAGCTGCAGGTCACATGAACACCTGGCCCACCAACCCGGATAATAGCAATAGCTGAAATCTAAGATATCTTCACTTTTACGTAAAACATTTTCCCATCAATCGGGAAAAGGAAAAAAAAATTCCACCTTTAACCCTAATTTCCATAATTCTCCCCCCCCTCGTTGGTTCCAAAATGACCGTACCGTATTGGTGGGTGCAACGATTTGTAAAATTTATTGTAATCTTTTCTCTAATGCTTATGTAGGATCTATACCACCTGAGCCATATGCACAATGTAAGACCCATTCCTACTTCATTTCCAAATGTAACGTGTAAGCCCAAATTAACTTTAACCCCTTCCATACCGGGCACTTTTACCCCCTTCCTGCCCAGGCCAATTTTCAGGTTTCAGCGCTCTCACACTTTGAATGACAATTGCGCTGTCATGCAACACTGTATCCAAACTAAAATGTTATCATTTTGTTCACACAACTAGAGCTTTCTTTTGGTGGTATTTAATCACAGATGGGGTTTTTATTTTTTACTAAATTAAAAAAAAAAATTTGAAAAAAAGTTTCTTTGTTTTTGTTATAAAAGTTTGCAAATAAATAATTGTTCTTCATAAATTTAGGCCGAGATGTATTCTGCTACATGTCTTTTGGTGAAAATAACCCAAATCAGTGTTTACTATTTAGTTTGTAGGAAAGTTACAGAGTTCACAAACTATGGGATATATCTGAAAATTGATCAATCCTGAAGTACTGATGGCCAATCTAATTTCTTGAGGCCCAAAAATGTCAGGACAGTACAGATATCCCCCAAATGTCAGGACAGTACAGATATCCCCCAAATGTCAGAACAGTACAGATATCCCCCAAATGTCAGGACAGTACAGATATCCCCCAAATGTCAGAACAGGACAGATACCCCCCAAATGTCAGGAACAGGACAGATATCCCCCAAATGTCAGAACAGGACAGATATCCCCCAAATGTCAGGACAGGACAGATATCCCCCAAATGTCAGGACAGGACAGATATCCCCCAAATGTCAGGACAGTACAGATATCCCCCAAATGTCAGGACAGTACAGATATCCCCCAAATGTCAGGACACTACAGATATCCCCCCAAATGTCAGGACAGTACAGATATCCCCCAAATGTCAGAACGGTACAGATATCCCCCCAAATGTCAGGACGGTACAGATATCCCCCCAAATGTCAGGACAGTACAGATATCCCCCAAATGTCAGAACACTACAGATATCCCCCAAATGTCAGAACACTACAGATATCCCCCTAAATGTCAGGACACTACAGATATCCCCCAAATGTCAGGGCAGTACAGATATCCCCCCAAATGTCAGAACAGTACAGATATCCCCCAAATATCAGGAGAGTACAGATATCCCCCAAATGTCAGGGCAGTACAGATATCCCCCAAATGTCAGAATAGTACAGATATCCCCCAAATGTCAGGAGAGTACAGATATCCCCCAAATGTCAGGACAGTACAGATATCCCCCAAATGTCAGGACAGTACAGATATCCCCCAAATGTCAGGACAGTACAGATATCCCCCAAATGTCAGGAGAGTACAGATATCCCCCAAATGTCAGGCAGTACAGATATCCCCCAAATGTCAGAATAGTACAGATATCCCCCAAATGTCAGGAGAGTACAGATATCCCCCAAATGTCAGGACAGTACAGATATCCCCCAAATGTCAGGACAGTACAGATATCCCCCAAATGTCAGAATAGTACAGATATCCCCCAAATGTCAGGAGAGTACAGATATCCCCCAAATGTCAGGACAGTACAGATATCCCCCAAATGTCAGGACGGTACAGATATCCCCCAAATGTCAGGACAGTACAGATATCCCCCAAATGTCAGAACGGTACAGATATCCCCAAATGTCAGGACAGTACAGATATCCCCCAAATGTCAGGACAGTACAGATATCCCCCAAATGTCAGAATAGTACAGATCTCCAAATGTCAGGACAGTACAGATATCCCCCAAATGTCAGAACAGTACAGATATCCCCCAAATGTCAGGACAGTACAGATATCCCCCAAATGTCAGACGGTACAGATATCCCCCAAATGTCAGGACGGTACAGATATCCCCCAAATGTCAGAACGGTACAGATATCCCCAAATGTCAGGACAGTACAGATATCCCCCAAATGTCAGGACAGTACAGATATCCCCCAAATGTCAGAATAGTACAGATCTCCAAATGTCAGGACAGTACAGATATCCCCCAAATGTCAGAACGGTACAGATATCCCCAAATGTCAGGACAGTACAGATATCCCCCCAAATGTCAGGACAGTACAGATATCCCCCAAATGTCAGAATAGTACAGATATCCCCAAATGTCAGGACAGTACAGATATCCCCCAAATGTCAGGACAGTACAGATATCCCCCCAAATGTCAGAACAGTACAGATATCCCCAAATGTCAGGACAGTACAGATATCCCCCAAATGTCAGGACAGTACAGATATCTCCCAAATGTCAGGACAGTACAGATATCCCCCAAATGTCAGAACAGTACAGATATCCCCCAAATGTCAGACAGTACAGATATCCCCCAAATGTCAGGACAGTACAGATATCCCCCAAATGTCAGGACAGTACAGATATCCCCAAATGTCAGGACAGTACAGATATCCCCCAAATGTCAGAACAGTACAGATATCCCCCAAATGTCAGGAGAGTACAGATATCCCCCAAATGTCAGGACAGTACAGATATCCCCCAAATGTCAGGACGGTACAGATATCCCCCAAATGTCAGGACAGTACAGATATCCCCCAAATGTCAGAACGGTACAGATATCCCCAAATGTCAGGACAGTACAGATATCCCCCCCCAAATGTCAGGACAGTACAGATATCCCCCAAATGTCAGAATAGTACAGATCTCCAAATGTCAGGACAGTACAGATATCCCCCAAATGTCAGAACAGTACAGATATCCCCCAAATGTCAGAACAGTACAGATATCCCCCAAATGACCCCTTTTTGCAAAGTAGACATCCGACGTACTTCATAAGAGGCATGGCGATTTTTTGAAGTTGTCATTTTTTTGTCATCATTTTTCAGAATAACAGATATCTCCCAAATGTCAGAACAGTACAGATATCCCCCAAATGTCAGGACAGTACAGATATCCCCAAAGGTCAGAACAGTACAGATATCCCCCAAATGTCAGGACAGTACAGATATCCCCCCAAATGTCAGGACAGTACAGATATCCCCCCAAATGTCAGGACGGTACAGATATCCTCCAAATGTCAGGACGGTACAGATATCCCCCAAATGTCAGGACAGTACAGATATCCCCCAAATGTCAGGACGGTACAGATATCCCCCAAATGTCAGGACGGTACAGATATCCCCCAAATGTCAGGACAGTACAGATATCTCCCAAATGTCAGAACAGTACAGATATCCCCCCAAATGTCAGGACAGTGCAGATATCCCCCAAATGTCAGGACAGTACAGATATCTCCCAAATGTCAGAACAGTACAGATATCCTCCAAATGTCAGGACAGTACAGATATCCCCCAAATGTCAGGACAGTACAGATATCCCCCAAATGTCAGGACAGTACAGATATCCCCCAAATGTCAGAACAGTACAGATATCCCCCAAATATCAGGACAGTACAGATATCCCCCAAATGTCAGGACAGTACAGATATCCCCCAAATGTCAGGACAGTACAGATATCCCCCAAATGTCAGGACAGTACAGATATCCCCAAATGTCAGGACAGTACAGATATCCCCCAAATGTCAGGACAGTACAGATATCCCCCAAATGTCAGAATAGTACAGATCTCCTCCAAATGTCAGGACAGTACAGATATCCCCCAAATGTCAGAACAGTACAGATATCCCCCAAATGTCAGAACAATACAGATATCCCCCAAATGTCAGGACAGTACAGATATCCCCCAAATGTCCGAACAGTACAGATATCCCCCAAATGTCAGGACAGTACAGATATCTCCCAAAGGTCAGAACAGTACAGATATCCCCCAAATGTCAGGACAGTACAGATATCCCCCAAATGTCAGGACAGTACAGATATCCCCCAAATGTCAGAACAGTACAGATATCCCCCCAAATGTCAGGACAGTACAGATATCTCCCAAATGTCAGAACAGTACAGATATCCTCCAAATGTCAGGAACAGTACAGATATCTCCCAAATGTCAGAACAGTACAGATATCCTCCAAATGTCAGGACAGTACAGATATCCCCCAAATGACCCCTTTTTGCAAAGTAGACATCCGACGTACTTCATAAGAGGCATGGCGAGTTTTTTGAAGTTGTCATTTTTTTGTCATCATTTTTCAGAAAATGAAGAAATTAAAAAAATTATTTTCACAACTTTTTTTTTACATAATGTCACCAGTGCAGTACAGCATCTTCACATAACTGGTGTGGGGGTGAATAGGGACACTGACTAGTGACAGTATGAAAAAAAAATTATACTTTTTTTCAATTTTTTTTATTTATTTATTTTTTATTTTTAATTACATTTTCTTCTCTTTTTGTTAAGATTTTTTTTTCATATTACCCTATGACCAAAGTAGTATACTGTTACCATAGTAACATTGTACTACTTTGAGGAAGTGATCAGTATTTTTTTTTTTTTTTACACAAGTTGATTGCTTATAGCAAAGAATTTCTGTGCTATTAGCAAGTATTTAACTGAATGAAATCGATTCATTCAGGTTTGTTTTTGCTGTGCTTAGCTGTGATTGGCCAAGGCTAATCACATGATACAGATGGGCTGTGATTGGCCCAGCCTGTGCATGTGATCGCTGTGACCATTCACAGCTAGACACAGTTGTATACAATGGATGGCATGAATGAAGCCATCCATTGTATACAACTGTCATGTCGACCGCTGTGATTGGTCACCACAGGTCACATGGTACTGGCAACAGGGCCGGTACTCAGATCTGGTACACGGCCGGTGACAGATCTCGCCACAGAGTGGCCCTGCGGGCACGCGCAAAGCGACTTACATTGACTTTTATTAAATTAAGTCGCAAGCCACAGTGAAATTGGAGGTGCTAATCAAGTCAAGTGAAGCAGCACGATTACAAAGTCGCTTTCAGTGTGAACCAGGGCTGATTCAGCTAAAAAAATATTCCAAGCATTTCCAAATAAATGCCCTGCGGATTGAGCATAATGGATCGGACTCCAATCCATTATCCTCCCCAATCCGCAGATCCGATCCATTCTGCCGGGATCGTCGGATTTCTTTACAACTTACCTTTTCTTGGATGGGGTCTGGTGTCACCCCGTATCGGTTGCATGCCAACGATCACCGCAGGATGGTTCGGATCTGTGGATTGAGCATAATGGATCGGAGTCCGATCCATTATGCTCCCCAATCCGCAGATCCGATTCATCCTGCGGAGATCGTCGGCATGCAACCTATACGGGTGACCCTGGACCCGCTCCACCAAAAGAAAGCCGATGATCTGATCCATCCTGCGGGGATCGTCGGCTTGCTTTACAATTTACCTTTTCGTGGCGTGGGTACGGTGTCACCCCATGCGGTAGGTGTCACCCGGTGCGGCGCGCACCCCCCAGCACCTGCCTCGGGATGCCACTGTTTATAGGGAAAGTTGATCCAGGGAATATCCGATTGCCTCTCGGGGGATCAGGAGGGATTTTTTTTCCCTGCAGGAGCAAATTTGTTCATGCTTTGATGTTTTTTTTTTTCCTTTCTCTGGATCAACTGTGGGTGTAGGATTATAACTTTTTTTTTAATGGTTGAACTGGATGGAATTTTGTCTTTTTTCAGCCAGACTAACTATGTAACTAAGTAGCACTGGGGTGCACAAGAAACCATTAGGTCAGCCTTTCTCAAACTTTTTAACATGGAGGAACCCCTGAAATAACTTTCCAGGCTCAGGGAACCCCTGATAAATAGTATATTTACAGCCTACACTACATCAGTGTGGTGGTTAGTGGGAAGAAGGTTCCTCCTCACACCAGGGGATGTCTCTGTAGTTGCAAGTGTAGATCCCTCAGCTCTGCCACAGCAGGGACTCTAGTGGACATCAATCAAGGTAAGCAGCAAACCCTTCAGAAACTGCAGCTCTTCAAGCTGGTGAAGCTCCTAGGCTTAGGGGCTAAGGCTATCCCCACAGCAGAGGATGTCTCTGTAGTGTCACTTTAGTTGCAGATGTAGGTCCCTCAGCTCTGCCACAGCTGGGACCCTAGTGGACATCAATCCAGGTAAGCAGCAAAGCCTTCCAAAACTTCAGCTTCTCAAGCTGGTGAAGCTCCTAGGCCTAGTGGCTAAGGCTATCCCCACAGCAGGGGATATTTCTGTAGTGTCTCTGTAGTTGCAGGTGTAGGTCCCTCAGCTCTGCCTCAGCTGGGACCCTAATGGACATCAATCCAGGTAAGCAGCAAAGCCTTCAGAAACTGCAGCTTTTTAAGCTGGTGAAGCTCCTAGGCTTAGTGGCTAAGGCTATCCCCACAGCAGAGGATGTCTCTGTAGCATCACTTTAGTTGCAGATGTAGGTCCCTCAGCTGGGACCAGCGGCGGACTGACAACTCATGGGTCCCCCGGGCAATAGGGGATCATGGGGCCCCTGTGTCCTTGCCCACACTCAAAAAAGCCTTTACAAACGGTACCAGGGGCATTTCATGGGGGCCCCCTACTGACTCTGGGACCTTGGGCAGTGCCCGAGTGCTTGAATGGTCAGTCCGCCCCTGGCTGGGACCCTAATGGACATCAATCCAGGTAAGAAGCTAAGCCTTCAGAAACTGCAGCTTTTCAAGCTGGTGAAGCTCCTAGGCTTAGTGGCTAAGGCTATCCCCAGAGCAGAGGATGTCTATGTAGCATCACTTTAGTTGCAGATGTAGGTCCCTCAGCTCTGCCACAGCTGGGACCCTAGTGGACATCAATCCAAGTAAGCAGCAAAGCCTTCAGAAACTGCAGCTTCTCAAGCTGGTGAAGCTCCTAGGCTTAGTGGCTAAGGCTATCCCCACAGCAGAGGATGTCTCTGTAGTTGCAGGTGTAGGTTCCCCAGCTCTGCCACATCTGGTACCCTAATGGACATCAATCCAGGCAAGCAGAAAAGCCTTCAGAAACTTCAGCTTTTCAAGCTGCTGAAGCTCCTAGGCTTATTGGCTAAGGCTATCCCCAGAGCAGAGGATGTCTCTGTAGCATCACTTTAGTTGCAGATGTAGGTCCCTCAGCTCTGCCTCAGCTGGGACCAGGGGCGGACTGACAACTCATGGGGCACCCGGTCAATATGGGATCATGATGCCCCTGTGTCCTTGCCCACACTCACAAAAGCCTATAAAACGGTACCAGGGGCATTTCATGGGGCCCCTTACTGACCCTGGGACCTTGGGCAGTGCCCGAGTGCTCAAATGGTCAGTCCGCCCCTGGCTGGGACCCTAGTGGACATCAATCCAAGTAAGCAGCAAAGCCTTCAGAAACTGCAGCTTTTCAAGCTGGTGAAGCTCCAAGGCTTAGTGGCTAAGGCTATCCCCAGAGCAGAAGATGTCTCTGTAGCATCACTTTAGTTGCAGATGTAGGTCCCTCAGCTCTGCCACAGCTGGGACCTTAGTGGACATCAATCCACGTAAGCAACAAAGCCTTCCAAAACTGCAGTTTCTCAAGCTGGTGAAGCTCCTAGGCTTTTAGTGGCTAAGGCTATCCCCACAGCAGGGGATGTCTCTATAGTTGCAGGTGTAGATCCCTCAGTTCTTCCACAGCTGGGACCCCAATGGACATCAATCCAGGTAAGCAGCAAAGCTTTCAGAAACGGCAGCTTGTCAAGCTGGTGAAGCTCCTAGGCTTAGTGGCTAAGGCTATCCCTACAGCAGGGGATGTCTCTGTAGTTCCAGATGTAGGTCCCTCAGCTCTGCCACAGCTGGGACCCTAGTGGACATCAATCCAAGTAAGCAGCAAAGCCTTCAGAAACTGCAGCTTTTCAAGCTGGTGAAGCTCCTAGGCTTAGTACCTTAGTGTGATGGTTACTGGGAAGAAGGTTCCTCACATTTGAAGTCATTGAAAAGAATCCCCCCTTACCAATAGCTACAAAGATCATTGTTGTCAGTGGTTACTCCTCTTAGATGCAGAAGTTGCTGTTTGCTCAAGAAACCCCTATATACCTCTGGAGGAACCCTAGTGTACCATGGAACCCTGGTTATGGAACCCTGGTCACGGAACCCTGGTTACGGAACCCTGGTTGAGAAAGGCTGCATTAGGTGGTTGGCTGTTTACCAAAATAACTTAAATATCAGCTTTGGGTTTATCCCTTCAATTGCAGATCATTCCCAACTCTTCTTCCTGCAGATGAACAGCCGAGCCAACCCATGGTGACCGCCAGGAATGTCGATGGCTAAAGAATATTGGTCTGGGGCAGAGGACAGGTTAATATTTCAGGCCTCCTAATGAGTTTCCCTAATCTCTGCATGTCATTAAAAGGAGGAATCAGACAGTTTGCAGAGTGTAGTGGGAACGGCGAGGGAGTGAATAGGCTACACGCAGTCTGGTAGCTTCGCCAGCCATTAATCCACTTGGCAAATTCAGCGCGGCGAGTAGATCCGCTCTCCAGTCTATGGGCTTTGTCAGTTGTGTTTGTCTGTGTACTTATGAGGGGGGTGAAGATGCAGCTTTCTAGACACACCAAATACAATGAGGGTGGTGGTGGTGGTGGTGGTGGTGGGGGTTATTGTGAGCGATAAGGGCTTATTCAGCTGGCGGAGGGGTCTAGGAAAAAAAAGATCTTTTAAAGTGTATGTCCAAAATGTTTCTTTTTCGTTTTGGATAGGTTGGGGGAAGGGTTAGAACCCCTGTCAGGCTTTTATTGCTACTCAGGGCTCCATTGGGGAGATTTACAGGATTTTAACGAAAGCAGCCCTTTTATGGTACCTCAGTATGATCAATAATTACTTGATATGATCAATATCATAATTAATATCAATATGATCAATGATCACTCATCTACCAAGGTACGTTTACAAAGGCAAGGTAGAAAAGTGGTTACACTGAGCACAGGGCTGCTATGCAGTTGTGAGGAGCTTGGTGTCGTCTTTAGGAGTCAGCAAAGCGCTTTCCGATAAAAATGATCCAGTTGGCTCTATAGCCTCCCGATCACTTTTATGGGGCTCTCAAAGCGTTCCCCCGCCAGTGAGACCCACAATGGTTTCCAGGCTCTACTGTTCCCCCAGGGGAGCCTGGGATCGCAGGAAATTGCTGGCCCAGTGAGAGCAAGAGTAGTAGGAACTCGGGGAACATTCGCTCCCCAATCCCACCTGTGACTAATGACTCCAGAAGCAGTGGCGTCCCCAGGCAGGTGCAGGGGGTGCCGCGCCGCACCGGGTGACACCGAGCGCACGGGCTGACACTGGACCCACTCCACGAAAAGGTAAGTTGTAAAGCAAGCCGATGATTCCCGCAGGATGGATCGGATCTGCGGATTGAGCATAATGGATCGGAGTCCGATATATATATATATTTTTTTAATATATATAAGATAAATAAATAAATAACAAAAAGTGTTTAAAGCGCCCCCCAGACTCCGGGGAGAGCGGATATAGTGAATGCGGGGTCTGGGGGGAGAGCGGATATAGTGAATGCGGGGTCCGGGGAGAGCGGATATAGTGAATGCGGGGTCCGGGGAGAGCGGATATAGTGAATGCGGGGTCCGGGAGAGTGGATATAGTGAATGCAGGGTCCGGGGAGAGCGGATATAGTGAATGCAGGGTCCGGGGAGAGCGGGTATAGTGAATGCGGGGTCCGGGGAGAGCGGATATAGTGAATGCGGGGTCCGGGGAGAGCGGATATAGTGAATGCGGGGTCCGGGGAGAGCGGATATAGTGAATGCGGGGTCCGGGGAGAGCGGATATAGTGAATGCGGGGTCCGGAGAGAGCGGATATAGTGAATGCAGGGTCTGGGGAGACCAGATATAGTGAATGCCGGGTCCAGGGAGACCATATATAGTGAATGCCGGGTCCAGGGAGACCATATATAGTGAATGCCGGGTCCGGGGAGAGCGGATATAGTGAATGCGGGGTCTGGGGAGAGCGGATATAGTGAATACAGGATCCGGGGGAGAGCGGATATAGTGAATGCAGGGTCCGGGGAGAGCGGATATAGTGAATGCGAGGTCCGGGGAGAGCGGATATAGTGAATGCGGGGTCCGGGGAGAGCGGATATAGTGAATGCAGGACCTGGGGAGAGCGGATATAGTGAATGCGGGGTCCGGGGAGAGCGGATATAGTGAATGCGGGGTCCGGGGAGAGCGGATATAGTGAATGCGGGGTCCGGGAGAGTGGATATAGTGAATGCAGGGTCCGGGGAGAGCGGATATAGTGAATGCAGGGTCCGGGGAGAGCGGGTATAGTGAATGCGGGGTCCGGGGAGAGCGGATATAGTGAATGCGGGGTCCGGGGAGAGCGGATATAGTGAATGCGGGGTCCGGGGAGAGCGGATATAGTGAATGCGGGGTCCGGGGAGAGCGGATATAGTGAATGCGGGGTCCGGAGAGAGCGGATATAGTGAATGCAGGGTCTGGGGAGACCAGATATAGTGAATGCCGGGTCCAGGGAGACCATATATAGTGAATGCCGGGTCCAGGGAGACCATATATATAGTGAATGCCGGGTCCGGGGAGAGCGGATATAATGAATACGGGGTCCGGGGAGAGCGGATATAATGAATGCGGGGTCCGGGGAGAGCGGATATAGTGAACCGCACATAAAAAGCGCAGTATATGTAAACATTGAAAAATGTTGGCAAGGCTGGCCAATCAAAAGCCATCTAGTCCATACCAGGGGCGGACTGACAACTCATGGGGCCCCCGGGGAATCCGGCTGGCCCAGTGATTGACAGATGAGGCCGCAAATGGAGGCGCGGGTAGGGCGTGTATGTATATATATATATATATATGTGTGGTTTTGCACACCCGTGCCGCCCTGTAGCTGTATTTCTGCTATAGGGCGGCATGCAGGGGCGGACTGACAACTCATGGGGCTCCCGGGCAGTAGGGGATCATGGGGCCCCTGTGTCCTTGCCCAAACTCAAAAAAGCCTATGAAAAAGGTACCAGGGGCATCTCATGGGGCCCCCTACTGACCCCGGGCCCTCGAGTTTCCAAATGGTCAGTCCGCCCCTGGTCCATACTGTCATCTCTGCACTGAGAATAGAGAAAGCCACTGAACTTTCATATCCGTGGCTTTTCCTTCATGGGTTTGGTGCAGGAAGGTTCCCCTTATGACAGCCCCGGGTTCCCCCAGGATCAGCGGAGAAACTGCATGCGATCTGGATGGAAATCTCATTCCTGTTCATATCGCGTGCTGTGCTTTGCGGTGCAATCTGCGTCCGTACATTTTGTAAGTATCGGTTTCAGGTATCGGGAATATTTTCATGAGTAATTGTGAAGATACTTGGCATCGGTATCGGTGCATCCCTAGTTCGTATGCTTTGAGGTCTGGCGGAGCTGTGTAAATCTGAGGACTGGATGGACAGGCATACAAATACTAGTAGAACCATCTCCCTTCTATGGAGTTGTATGGATGGATGTATGGAGCCGTGTTCCTGGAGTCCAGCTTTATCCTCGTCAGCGGACGGTGTCACAGGGAGCGCTATCATCCTTCCAGCCTGGTGTGAGAAGCCCAGCAGTATCGTGGTTTCGGGGTGTTCCGAGGATGGGTGTAGCTTCCTCCTCCTGTTAATCATTGTCTTCCTCCTGATTGTGATGTCACAGCGCTGAGGTTCCTCGTTACACCCTGTCTGTTTTTCCACATAAAGATTTCTCCGGCCGCCGTAATCTCCCCAATGACAGGACAGGTCAGCTTTTCGGAGTCGTTCTCAGAGACCTGTTCAGAAATTCATTTTTTTTTTTCTTTCCTTCCCAAAGGAGCAGACGCCCGGACGGGCGGGACGTGGAACAGACGGGCCTTTTGCGGCACCTGTTACCTCTTAGTGGCCTCTTTTGTGATGGGGGACGGGAGCGTGACGCCGTGCTGTGATTTTGGTGGAACAGACGGGCCTTTGTGGCACCTGTTACCTTTTAGTGGCCCGTTTTGTGAGCGGGGACAGGAGCGTGACGCCGCGCTGTCTGGGAAGTGGAACAGACGAGCCTTTTGCGCCACCTGATACCCCTTAGTGGCCCGTTTTGTGATTGGGGAGGGGCGTGTGACGCCGCGCTGTCTGGGAAGTGGAACAGACGGGCCTTTTCCGGCACCTGTTACCTCTTAGTGGTCCGTTTTGTGATCGGGGACGGGGAGCGTGACACCGCGCTGTGATTTTGGTGGAACAGATGGGCCTTTTTCCGGCACCTGTTACCTCTTAGTGGCCCGTTTTGTGATCGGGGACGGGAGCGTGACGCCGCGCTGTGATTTTGGTGTGATTTTGGAGGAACAGATGGGCCTTTTGCGGCACCTGGTACCTCTTAGTGGCCTGTTTTGTGATTGGGGAGGGGCGCGTGATGTTGCGCTGTGATTTTGGTGGAACAGACTGGCCTTTTTGCGGCATCTGGTACCACTTGGTGGCCTGTTTTGTCATCAGGGAAAGGTGCGTTACGCCGCAATGTCTGGGATGTGGAACAGACGGGCCATTTGCGGCACCTGGTACCTCTTGGTGGCCCGTTTTGTGAGTGGGGCAGGAGCATGATGCCACGCTGTGATTTTGGTGGAACAGATTGGCCTTTTGCGGCAGCTGGTACCCCTTAGTGGCCCGTTTTGTGATTGGGGAGGGGCGTGTGACGCCGCGCTGTCTGGGAAGTGGAACAGACGGGCCATTTGCGGCACCTGTTACCTCTTTGTGGTCGGGGGAGGGGCGTGGCCTGCTTTTGTGAGCGCGGCACCTGTTACTTAGTGGCCTGTTTTGTGGCGAGGACGGGAGCGTGACGCCGCGCTGTGATTTTGGTGGAACAGACGGGCCTTTTTGCTGCACCTGTTACCTCTTAGTGGCCAGTTTTGTGGTCGGGGAAGGGAGCGTGACGCTGCGCTGTGATTTAGGTCCTTGTAAATCTATAGGAAAAAAAAAAAGCTAAAATCTGGGCAGGTATAATAGACATAAATTATTGCAACTCTGTATCAATTCAGTCCCCATTTAGGCTCCATTTATATTTGTGCGACTTGTCATGCAACTTTGGACAAATAAAGTCGCATGACACGTCGCGGTCCATGTATCTCGATGGGAGCCGTCCAAATCTATGCAACTTTAAAAAGGTTCCTGTTCCACTTGGATGCGACTTGCATGCGGCTTGAGTGTTATAGAGACGGCAATGGAAACGCTCAAAAGTCGCATAAAAGTTGCATTTTTAGAGGTACGTTTTTCAGGACATAGATTGTGAAAAACAGTCAAAAGTCCATGAAAGTTGCATCGATGGGACAATTGTGAAAAACAGTGAACTAGCTAAAGTTGCATCAAAGTTGCACCCATCTAAAGTTGCATCAAAGTTGCACGTAGTAGTAACCCCCAGCTCTGCTGATCAAAGTGAAAAAGTAGTAGTAACCCCGAACTCTGCTGATTCCCACTCAGTAGTAACCCCCAGCTCTTCTGTTCCCTTGCTCAATAGTACCCCAAGTTCTGCTGACCTCCTGCTCAGTAGTAACCTCCAGCTCTGCTGAACCCCCGCTTAGTAGTACCCCAAGCTCTGCGGATCCCCCACTCAGTATTAACCCCCAGCTCTGCTGATCCCCTGCTCAGTAGTAACCCCCAGCTCTGCTGATCCCCCACTCAGTAGTAACCCCCAGCTCTGCTGATCTCCCACTCAGTAGTAACCTCCAGCTCTGCCGATAACCAGCTCAGTAGTGACCCCCCAGCTCTGCTGATCCCCCTCTCAGTGTTAAACCCCAGCTCTGCTGATTCCCCACTCAATAGTAACCACCAGCTCTGCTGTTCCCTTGCTCAGTAGTACCCCAGCTCTGCTGATCCCCCAATCCTATTAACCCTACCTCTGTTGATCCCCTGCTCAGTAGTAACCCACAGCTCTGCTGATCCCCCATTCAGTAGAAACCCCCATCTCTGCTGATCCTCTGCTCCATAATAATCCCAAGCTCTGCTGATCCTCCGCTCAGTAACAACCTCAAGCTCTGCTGATCCCCCACTCAGTATTAACCCCCACCTCTGCTGATCCCCTGCTCAGTAATAACTCCCACCTCTGCTGATCCTCTGCTCAGTATCAACCCCCAACCCCTGATCCCCCACTGCAGTAGTCCCCCAGGTCCCTCCCCTCACTAGTAAACCTCAGCTCTACTGATCCCCCACTCCATAAAAACCCCAGCTCTGCTGATCCTCCACTCAGTAGTAACCCTCAGCTCTGCTGATCCCCCCTCAGTAGTAACCCTCCCCTCACTCAGTAGTAACCCTCAGCTCTGCTGATCCCCCACTCAGTAGTAACCCTCAGCTGTGCTGATCCCCCACTCAGTAGTAACCCTCAGCTCTGCTGATCCCCCACTCAGTAGTAACCCTCAGCTGTGCTGATCCCCCACTCAGTAGTAACCCTCAGCTGTGCTGATCCCCCACTCAGTAGTAACCCTCAGCTCTGCTGATCCCCCACTCAGTAGTAGCCCTCAGCTCTGCTGATCCCCCACTCAGTAGTAACCCTCAGCTCTGCTGATCCCCCACTCAGTGGTAACCCTCAGCTCTGCTGATCCCCCCTCAGTGGTAACCCTCAGCTCTGCTGATCCCCCACTCAGTAGTAATCCTCAGCTCTGCTGATCCCCCCTCAGTAGTAACCCTCAGCTCTGCTGATCCCCCACTCAGTGGTAACCCTGAGCTCTGCTGATCCCCCACTCAGTGGTAACCCTCAGCTCTGCTGATCCCCACTCACATAACCCTCAGCTCTGCAGATCCCCCACTCAGTGGTAACCCTCAGCTCTGCTGATCCCCCACTCAGTAAAACCCCCCAGCTCTGCTGATCCCCCACTCAGTACTAACCCCCCAGCTCTGCTGATCCCTCACTCAGTACTAACTTCCAGCTCTGCTGATCCTCTGGCTTTCTGATCTTCTCTTTCTAGTCAATGCCCACCTCCCACTGTATTGCTCCCAGACTGCTCACCAAGTGTAACTTCTTCTAGTTTCTTCTTCTCTGGTCCCCCAGCTCTGCTGATCCTCTGCTGCTCAGTCCTCCCTCTACGGTCCCCACTCACCTTCCACTATAGCGTTCCCATTTTGCACATCACATGTGCCATGTGCTAGTTGCTCCACTCCGTACCCCGCTCACCTCCCTGCTGCTCCTCACTGCACACCAGATGTGACGTCTGAACCAGACACTCCCAGAATATATACACATGAACCGGAAGTGACTGCTGAAGACGTCTTTCCAGTTCACTTGTTGGTTTCCCAGTGCATCCTGGGATATCCCATATCTGCAATACCTCCAAAACAAAGCAAAGCTAACTCTGAATAAAAGCCTCTCAAAAGCTGCAGGTGCTGGAAGTGAGCTTTTTCATAGACTTCTATGGAGAGTTTGAAGACGCTTTGAAGCCCCGAGAATGGGGTCGAATTTTTGAAGCAAAGCAAATGCAAGGTGTAAACAGGACTTTAGAGCTTTCCATTGTATATAATGACGGGGCTTTAACCATTTCCTGACTGCACTACAGCCAAAACACAGCTACAATGCGGTCAGCTAGTTCTGGGGGACGGTGTCCATGGATGTCCTCCCAGAACCCGCCCCCCATGTGCCCCC